AACAGTAGCTATTTATTTAAAATGCTGACATTAACAAACATTTTTCAACATACATTGATGTGACATAAAATCACGTGCTTTCTTCAACAGAACCTGACCTTATGCAATAATAATACTGTTGAGTTGTATGGGTTTGTGGATTTGGAGTAAATGATGACAATACTTGATGAAGAATCAAAACACAGTTTATTTGCCAGTATGCACTGTTACACAGGATAGTCTGAAAGACATGTTTACAGTTGTAAAAAAACTATGATAAGTGTGCTAAAACAATCAGCAACATAGCCTTCAGGCTATAATGGTGAAGTCAGCTTCACAGCAAAGCACTGAAGTACAGCATCTGACTCGGTTGATCGTTCTCAAGCTAATTTCTGAACTTAAGACACTTCTTTCTCCCAGGAGAGGCAGGTTATACAAGGGCAGATTAAAAAGTAAGTTGCACTCCCAAGTTATGACCATTTATCAAATTGTCAGTACAAAAGCAACATGGCTATGACAGCATACAATGTAAGTTCACTTTTCCACATAGTTCCCAAGACACTCTAAACATTTCTCAGAATGGTCAACTAACTTTTCAATTCCAAATGCATAGAAATCTCCTTCAGCGCTATGTAACCGCATGGAGATAGCTGCTTTCACCTCCTCATCGTTTTGGAATCGTTCTCCATCAAGATTTTTAAGCTTACCGAAAAAATGAGCGCAACACCTCACAAAGCTCGCCAAACGTGGGACCTGCTGCAGCGGTTCAAGTGGGAGGTATGGCAGCATCCTCCATACAGTCCCAATTTAGCACCATTGGACTTTCGTATTTTCAGTAAGCTTAAAAAGCATCTCGGTGGACAACAATTCCGAAAGCAGCTGTCTCCGTGTGGTTACTTAGTGCTGGAGGAGATTTCTATGCATTCGGAATTGAAAAGTTGGTTGTCCGTTTGGAGAAATGTTTAGAATGTCTTGGGAACTATGTGGAAAAGTGAACTTACATTGTATGCTTTCATAGCCGTATTGCTTTTGTATTGACAATTTAATAAATGGTCATTACTTGGAAGTGCAACTTGCTTTTTGATCTGCCCTCGTATATATATATATATATAGCTTTAATCTACCTTTGAGGATATTCTTCAGAAAACTGCTAAGAATGCGTTCTAGAATGTTCTCGCTCCCTCTCTAGCATATGGTTAATTTTGTCATGAAATATCTCTAAATGGGCAATTTTGTGCCAAATGTGCAACCCTGCCACTTTCTGGCAACCCTAACCCCACTTTGCAGAGAAGCTATCTTACTGCAGCTGGGCATTTACAACACTGCCCCCTCTCAAAGACTGCACGTTCCAGGCAATACAATGGTTGGTCAGAAGCCAAATTCAGTACAGTCAAAGGTCGTTAATCCGGACTCATCGGGACTTCAGCGATTCCGGATTATAGATCATCAGTTTAAATCTGGTAAGATGGCATGCAGAAATTATAAAATTAAAAATATGAAACCGTAATTTATGAAATAAAGAATAATTATGATCTAAAGGGTATCAAAATTTACACACACCAAAAAAAAAAAAAGCTTAATATTTATTTGTTTACTTTATTAAACATTTCATTCAATGTAAGTTGTTTAAGTTGCTTCTTTTTTTGTGATATAAACATTCTCTTTAATTCTATAAACAGACATAATTTCTTGTTCAGTTACAAAGTTCCGCGTTCAAGTCCTAATTGCTGTGTTGAGAATACCGACTCATTTGTCAATCGAAATTTTTTCGTTTTCAATAACCTCTGTTACTTTCTTCGCTATCGTAAGCGAATTATAATGATGAGGAATTTGATTTAAATCATATCAAAGACGGAGTACATCGAGATGAAATACTACATTTAGTAAGGAATTATAAGCTAAATAAAATAAAAACATCTGCCCTGAAGATAAGGATAGTGCTGACAGATCAACTTCCAATTCATTACGCACCGCGGCGTTAAAGATAAACAAAGTTTACATAAACAAACGTTAAAGTTTAGATAAACAAAGGATATGCTTTTATTCATTTTTTGCAGCAATGCCACTTTTGTTTAATAGACTTCGAAACATACTTTCGCTTTGTAGATCCTTTACATATTAGTAAATATATATCAGAAATTCTATTTGACATAATTGAAAGTTCAAGCTTACTTTTATAAAATTGCTCTAACGGTCTGCAAAAAATAATAAGCCGAATCCAATTCGAAGATTAAGGAACAACGCAATCTGCAACATTAACTGAATTAGATAACTTTAGCTTAGCTTATACCGTCCGTTATACATTAAACGCACATTCATAAACGTATTTTGTGCACGCGCACATGCATATTCGTAGACGTAAAGGTCTTATGCGCAGAAAGTTTGTAGCTTTGAGGTCCGAATTATAGATCATTCCGCATTATGGGTGTCCGAATTAACGACTTTTGACTGTACAAACAAACAAAACAATAAAAAAGGTAAACAAAAATAAAAGAAAAAAATATCTACAGTATTTATGAAATTTCAAAATGAATTTCAATTTCAGGCTTTTCTTCAAGTTATACCCTGGTTAATTACTTTTTCACTGTCCCAGATGTATTTCAGATTTGCATACCACAGTCTAAAGATTCAGTCTTTTCAAATTTTTCATCCACAGGAAGATCTGGTACACTTTGCTCACCACTTTGTAGTTTATTCGCATCATATAGTATAGAGTTCACCTCGGTATTTTTAGCAGTTGGCATGTGCTTATTTTCCTCTATTTCCTGAAAAGCAGTCTCCGATGTTAGCATTAGAGATATGAATAGAAACTGATTCTTTACAAACAGAAATATAGTTTACAAAATAGTATATAGAATAATTATAAACAGAAGTTTAGAATCAAGTTTTTGTCTGTACGACACATCCTTCAGGCTATAATGATGAAAACAGATTCATGGCAGAGCACTGAAGTACAGCATCTGACTCGGTTCATTGCAACACTTTTTGAAATAAAGCAGATTTTTATCTCCAGCATGTGAGATTGTTGCAAAATGAGGGTGAAAATCGATGTTTTCAGCATTTTTAATTAATATCTTGGCTGATTAAAGTTGTACGAAGAAGAGGATAGTTGAAATGTCTTTCCCCAAATTTTTGGAATCCGGGGGATACTTTTTTTGAAACTCAACTCCCGACCATTCCAGAGGATATAATATCACAAACAAATAAACAGACATATGCACACAGATTTCAATAGTGTACAAAGTCCGTAATCCGGACTCGTCGGGACTTCGGTGATTCCGGATTAAGGAGTTTTCCGGATTATAGATCATCAATTTAAATCTGGTAAGATGGCATACAGAAGTTATACAATTAAAAATATGAAACCGTAATTTATGAAATAAAGAACAATTATGATCTAAAACGTATCAAATTTGCAAAAAAAAGAAAGCTTCATATTTATTTGTTTACTGTATTAAATATATCTTTCAATGTAAGTTGTTTAAGTTGCTTCGTTTTTTGTGCTAAACGTGCATGCGTAAACATTAAACGCACATGCGTAAAGCATACAGAAAAAAAAAGTTTGTGGCTTTGAGGTCCGGATTATAGATCATTCCGAATAATGGACATCCATATTACAGACTTTGTACTATATAGATTTTTGCATGTTAGTCTTAATTCCAAAAAACACTCGAGGACACTGTGATCTTCAGCACTGCAAGGTCACAGGCTCATGGAGGGGACATCATTTTCTTGATGTTAGGAGTGAAGAAGTTATAGGACAATACAAGACAGATATACAGTTTTCTCCAGAAAGATACACATGCCAAAATTGGTTATTAACCACCAGTAAACTAAATGCCTTTTTTCTTCTTATCTTTTACAACAGTGTTTTGTTTTCAAAATCAATATTGTCAATAAAAAGTTTTAAATGTGTATCATTCTATTTCATTCTTTGTTACTCATGTTGTGACTAATCTTACTTGTCTGACTTAATCAGAACAAGCCCACAAATTTTATCATGGAAGAATACATCTGTCATTGGCAAGATCCTTAAGCATCATACAAGTGGCAGTATGACTTTGCTCGGTTTTGAAGGAGAATACGCGGGTGGATGGGTTCGAATTTCACCCATCCTTCTTAGCTTTCAAGCAACCTCTCAAGAGGATTTTCGGCTTGCCGTATATTTTGATTGTCCCCGTGCTGTACAGATGTTATAGATTTACAAAAATCCATCAGACCTGAGCCTTTTGGTACGGCAGTTAGTGTCACTAACCACATTCCCTGTCTTGGTGGCTTATTCATTGTTTATTTAAATAACTAATGTAAGAGATATATTTCTTATGTGTAGAAAAATTTTACTTCAGTTGAAAGTGTTTTCTTCCTCGATGTATGGAGTTGGCACATATATCTTTTCAGAGAAAATTGTGTAGCATGTACACCGAAGAGCCATTACATTGTGACCACCCTGTTAATAACATGTAGGATATAACATATTTAGCCCTCAAAACTGCCAGCATCCGGTGTGGCATTGACTCCGCAAGGTGCTGATAAGTATGAGGTATCTGGTACCAAGCACTCATCAACTGGTCCTGCAATTCCCACACATTGTGAGGGGGTGGCGTGGCAGCATGTGCCAAAAGGGACCAAAATGCTCTATTAATCCAATAGAGGTGAATTTGGAGGCCAAGGCATGAAAATCATTAGAATGTTCCTCGAACCACTCCCTGACGATCCGACCCTTATGACATGGTGCATTGTCCTGTTGGTAAACACCATCCCCTTCTGGAAATACTGTTGTCATGAATGGGTGAACCTGGTCTGCGATGAGGTTCATGTAGCACACAGACATCAGATATTTTTCTATGGGGATTATGGATGGTCTTAATGTGCTCCACAAAACATTACCCACACTATATAAGCCCCGGTACCTCCTTGTCTCCATCCAACTGTGTATCCAGGAGCCAGAGTTTCAGTTGGAAATCAGCGTATTAGCGCACGCCCACTGATGTGATGGACCAGAAAACGAGATTCGTCAGACAATGCCGCTTTCTTCCATTTTTCTAATATCTAATTCCAATGCTTCTTGGCCCATTGCAGATGCATCTGGCGATGATGTGCCATCAGTGCAGAGACATGCTTTGGCCTCCAGCTGCGTAGGCCCATATGCAGCAACGTACGCTGCACAGAATGTTGAGAAACACTGTCTGGGTCACCACTGTTGTAGCTGGTGGTGATTTCGGCTGTTGTAGCTCTTTGGTCATGGCAAACAATGCGTAGAATCTTTGCTCTCCTGTGGAATCAATGCGCCGTTGACGACTTGTCATTTCACCACCCATTTGGAAAGATAATGCATAGCCACTTTATATACTTCAACATCAGCTGTGCATGCACAATGGTTTTGTTCCTAGGCGAGCCCATTATTATAGATGGAGGGTGGTTATAATTTAATGGCTCTTCAGTGTATTGTCCTATAACAAAAAAGATCTAACAGTTTTATGAAAACAGTAATTAATCATTTTGGAACTGGTAATGGTTCCTTAACTCAGCATGATATGGCTTATTATGTAGAATTGTTCGTAATTCAGATATTTTTTACATTCTTAAATCGTAGTAATTTTCCATTTATTGTCTATGCATCTATGTATCACAAATGTTCAAATAGCTGCAAAGACAAGTGAAATAAAAAAGACTTATTCAAGCTTTAATTATTCTAAGAATTGGAAGAATTGGATTTTGGTTGAATGTTTTAATCAGCTGGAAATGCTTTTAAATTACTAGACAAAAGTTGTAATGTACTATTAAAGTTAGCTTTTCTTTTTTTTAATTTAACTTAAATAATTTTTTCTGTATTTTAAACCATTATTGTTTATAATATTTTGGACTAAATTTTATTTATTAATCTATTTTAGTTAATTCATAATTTTATGAATAAATCTGAATACCACACTTCAGTAATTTTCTTTTAACTGATGGTAACAGTCTTGAATATATGAAGCCACTATACAAACTGTAATTGCTATCATTTATAGTCATATCTTCTGTAAGATATCCTTTACCACAGAGACCAAAATTATCTGGAACTGAAGTTATTGTTGTAGAGAGGGTTATTCATTATGTGTTGTATATATATGCAAGGTGAATTTGGAAAAGTGGGCAAAACTTTCCGGGTGATAGAACAGCTATACAAGCAATATTCAAAAGAAAGGTTGGGCGAAATGCAAATGGTGAGCTGCTGGGTGTCATTGTAAATGGTGTAAAGAGGGGCGGTCCTCACACCCCCAACCCCCATCAAGTCGAGAATGTGATTCCAGCACAAATGTGCACCTGCATCCTTCAGCTTCGATATGCACCACTTTAGATGCAAAGCTCACAGGGCGATGGAGTGGTCGAGGTGGTCCCTCAGCTTGGTCACCAAGATCAGCAGATTTTTAAATATAATCAATGCATACTAAATCGGCAAGGCGCCAGTGTGGCCCCTTCTTGACATCTGGGGCTGTTCTAGTTAGTGGTGGATGTGGTGGTGTACTGATTAACCAGCATGGTAGAGGCACAGTGCCCATGTCCCCCAATCACTTGTACTTGTGGGGCCACATGGAAAGCCTAAGCTATGAGTGCCCCATTGAAACCAATATGGATCTTGTTACCAGGATCGATCATTGTTGTTGCCTGCGATACTTAAGAAATGCCTGGTGTCTTCACAAATGTGCATCAGTCCCTATCCCACAAGTGTGAAGCCACAGGCTATAGCTGATGGAAAGTCTTTTGAGCAGTTTTTTGAAGGATGTACATCTATTACATTTCTTTTAATAAAATGTTTTCTGAAATATCTCTTCTCATTCTTCTGTTAATACTTTAAATGTGACAATGGAAAACTACCTTTTTAACTTCTCATTGCTTGCTTTCTGACCATACATTCTATGACGAATATTGCTCATATAGTTGTATTCTATCATCCCATAAAGTTTTGCCCACCTTTTTCAGATTCATCCTGAATATATGTATGTACAGTGTGTGTTTGTGTGTGTGTAGAGAGAGGTAGTTGATGAGCTGTGAACTAACACTCCATGATATTTCTCATTTGCTTGTAGAACTGTTAATCCATTCATTGAATTGCAAGACCAGGAAAAACTGTAATTCATCAGCATGTCTTCAGAATTATGTAATGTGCTTCTGGCTTTGTGACAAAATGTGTTGTCCTGTTGAAAGAGTAGGACTCTGGTTGGATTCATTTCTGCCGCGGAAGATAGAAGTAATGCGATGTAAAAGGAGTCGCAATTCCTCCATCCAAGCATTGCTTTTCCATTGTTGCATGGTTTATTCATGATGCTTATTGGCCCACCAATAGTCATAAACATTAATGATGCTAATTTAACAGATAAGAAGACATCTACTATAAGTTCCATATCACTTATATTTGGACACATTGTATTCAATTGTCATTTGAGCTACCACTTGCTTTTTTTTTTTTTTTTTTTAATCATAGATACTGACAGCAGCTTTTCTTGTACACCTTATGAGCAGTGCTGTGTTGGAGGTACTTTCTCCTATTCATTTCAGGACCTCAGATGACAATTTGTAAAATACATTTTATCTTTAGAATTGTTATTATGTATTTAACATATTTAAAGCAATTAATCTATTTGCAAACTTCATTTTATGAATATTAAGTTTCTATCTGATTAAACAATAGTAGACACTTAATGTGACTGTGGTTAATGTTATCATTTGGATATTCATATAAAATTGCCAGGGTCTCACTCGTTTGTATACAGGAAACATGAAAAATACATTGCTTATTGTGATCAACAATTTGGTTAATATGATCAAAATATTATAGGATAAATTTTTTAAACTGAAGTAAAGGTTGCCAAACATGCTCAAAATGGATTATCAGATTTCTGAAATGGCAGAGGGGTGTTGTCAATTAAGGAATTCAATCACAAATAGATAACAAATTTTGATTTCGATCAACCATTTGCAATTTAACCAAAAAAAAAAAAAAAGTAGTTTGGCACAGTTTTTTTTTTTTTTTTTTTTTTTTTTTTATTATTAACTGTGTTGATTCAGAAAACAAGCAGCCACATGAAGTTTAAAACAACAACAACAACAACAAAAAGTGCAGAATTTTTTAAACATGAAAAAATATTCTCTAAAAATATCCGTGCCAAATTAAGGTTGCTTCTTTTGCCTAATTTTAAATTTTGCATTGGCATGTTCTCTTCCAATGAAAGAAATCCTCTGAATATTAAGATTAGGGGTGCAGAATCTACTAAATAATTTCCAGAAACATTAGGAACAATTCATAAATGAACTTTAACATTAAATGCATCATTAACAATTCATTAAAAAAGTAAAAATGAAAAACTTTTGCATTTTCATAATTAAAATACAATGAAACTGCATGTTTATATAATTCTAGTTAGATTTATATTAAATTAGCTAAATGCCGCAGCTGTTTTGTAGGATATTTTTACTTATCTTTTAATGTTATCAAAATAGTCATGGGTAAACATCACAATAAGGAGTGTACTGTATTTTGATATTATCTAAGTGATAGATTATTATATTGGAGAAGTTCATGATAATAATGTCTTTAGTGATGCTATATTTAACAAAAGGATTTTGTTTGATGTTTCCAAAAATCATTTGGATTTTGGTGATTGTGTGAATGTTGAGAATCCATAGGTACAGCAAAAGTCTGATAGTTGGGCATTTAGTTTTTGCATGGTCTGTACTGTTCTTAGAAGTCCTTTAAAGTCTGTAGGTAGTTTGGAAACAGTTTTTGGTCATTAAAGTCCTAAGTTTCTACCAAAATCAGTAAAAGATTCTTAATTTTAGTCATCTGACATTTCTATCTGTTTTTTTAGCTGCCATTTTGAGTGCGGATTAACATTTTTTAGGAATATTTTTTGGCGATGCATTGACAAATATGTATTTGATGAGTTATTTGAATTTTTTACTGCTTCTTAATATAAGTGGTAGATATTTGGGCTTTTAGGCTTGAGTCCGTGCCTGAATTAAAATTTTTGAAATTATGTCTTTACTGTGAATGATGAGTTCATAAAATATTACATCAGAAACAACATTTCCCTTTTTGGAATATGAGTTCTTTTAGTTCAGGCATAGATAATATTTTTAATTTAATTTATTCAGTTCCCATTTGCTCATAGGTCCTTAATTTTTTTCACTAATGATTCTTAAAAGACCTTAAAAGTACTTAATTTCCGTGTGCAGAACTGTGTCTGAACCCTGGAATAGCATGAATAATGTCTGCTTTTGTGCTGTAACAGATCTTTCAGTGTTTCTTCCCTTTTGACAAAGAGATCGTAGTCACAGAGATTCACACCAGGTTAATAGGGCAGGGCGTGTTCCTGTACTTCCTGCTGTAGGAGATCATGACAGTACTGGCATTATGATACTGCACATTATCAGGGATGGGGATAGGATTCATGTCCCAAGGCTTCATCTGTGTCCAGCACTCAGGAGAAAGAGACTGCACTTCTTGGCGATGAATCTCATCCTCTCGTATGGCAATGTGCAGTGTTATAATGCAAGCAGTGTCATGGATTTCCTGTGATAATGGCTGTGGGAAGTACAAGAAAATTCCTGCCTTACTTACTTGATATAAGTCTCTGTGGTTATGATCTCTTGGCTAAAATGAAAGAACCATTGTGAGGAATCCATCAAAACAGTTCTTACAGAGAAGAGATTATCTGCATTATAGGATGGCTGTTGTGTGATATCAACAAAAGTGGATATATGATGTCTTCTAGTAATTTGACTGATGGCAGTAGAGATGGCACATGAATATGTTTGAAACAATTTTGAGGGATTATATGTATTTTTACCTATGGTTAAAAAATCTTTTCTGAACTATCAATTTGTTCGCACTACTTTTTATCCAACCTTATACTTTCTGAATGTGGTTTAAATTCATAATCATTTGACCATACTATTTATCTTTTTTAATAGTTGGTAAATGAATACTGCAGAATTTATTTCCATCATTCTGTATTATTATTTATTATTTTAACTATGCTGCTTTCAATTTGGAGGCTAAAAATTATGAACAGAATAAAAATTACATAATTTTCTAGAATGCATAGTACTTTTTAGTGTTCTATATCCATTTAAAACTACATTTATTTTAACTCAGCATTGTAATTATGTACTGATTGTAATATTTTTAGCATTTGGAGATGTTTTTGCTGGCATTGGAGTGCGAGAACCTCAGCCAAGAGCAAGTGAGGCATTCACAAGATTTGGTGAAACACATAGGAATATGGAAAAATTAGGAATTAAATTTCTAAAGACTGTCAAACCTGTAATTTTAATTTTTTATAAAAAATTATTTTATAAATGTTAACTCTCAAATTTAATTTTTAGTTTTTATTGCAATTTTAAAGTAATAAGTGATGTTATTAAATAGAATGTATCAAGCAATAGTATAATTATAATTTTTTCTTTTTCAGATGTTGACAGACTTGGGAACTTATCTAAATAAAGCTGTCCCTGACACTAAATTAACTATAAAAAAGTATGCTGATGTGAAATTTGAATATTTAGTGAGTTGTTGGTATTACTAATTATATTTCAGATCTATTACTAGACTAGGACAGTAATTTTTATTGAAAAGGTAGGGAGAGTAATTTTATCAAGGGGTGAAGTTAAAATTGTAAGGTTGCCATGATGTAAATTAGAAAGTAAGGACTAAAATTTTATTCAATCAAACTTTATTAATAGTCCTTCGCTTCCTAGATAATTTTTTTCCTACTCCACCAGTTTCTGTTTCATTTCCATTTAACTGTTATTAAGTCTATAAGCATATACTTACTGGGTTAAGTGTCTGTTAAGCATACACTTAACTGCAACCTTAACTTCACAGCTATTTGCGTAATAATTATGTAAGCTGAAATGCATTATTCATTTATCAAAAGGAAAACAGACTTCTTTCCTGTTCAGCATTTTCTTTTAGACTGTGCTACCCTACTAACCTCTTCAGAAATTCATCAAATCTTAGTTAGCATGTGTCAGTTAAGAAGCAAACAAAGGTGCATACCCATTTTCCTAAGTAGGTAAGTACACTTATTTTCTAAATATTATTACAGAAGCTGTGGTTATCCCATACCCTGGTCCTCAAATAGGAAAATAAATTATTCTCAGATTTTATCAGTATCAATCTCCTGAAAGAGGCTGTATGTTGCTGCTTGGATTTGTGTGTGGGGAGGGAAAAAAATACTCATTGAGATTAAACAGTGGCTGCTCATTGTTTCAGGAACGAACTTGTTGATTGTGGAGTTTCAGTTAATAAGCAGTTTCATTCTTCATTTCTCAGAGAGTCTAGAGCATTCTTAGTGAAATTAAATTTATTGAAGATAGTAAATATGTGAAATGTCTAAAGCGGCATTCGTTGGAAAGCACCATACCCCTAAACTCATGTTTGAATAATATTCTTATATCAAAGGAGTAGCTTCAGTAATGGTTTAGAAACAACATATACAAGGAAGATAAAAAGATATCAAAAGCTGAACTTTCAAGAAACAAAGGTTCTTTAGTTCAACAATGCCAGAGACAAAAATATGCTTGTATCAGAAATCATCATAAGGAAAAGGCATTTGAGATAGCAAAGTAATTTAGAAATAAAGAAATTTGAGCAAATAATAGTTGGACTGAAAGATTCAGTGAAAGATGGAAGTTGTTCTTTGAGAAGATTTATAAAGAATGGTTGTCTGTATATTGTTTATGTAAAAGAGTGGAAGACTACTTTAAAAATAGGTCTTGCATCAATCTTCATATATTTATAACTTAGATGAAATAAAGTTAGGTTTTTGCTTTCTACTGCAAAACTATGATCATCCTGCTCTGAAAAGTTTTATGGGCAAAGACTAAATAATTTTACTGTCATGTGTTAATAGTACAGGGTTCGTAGCGGTCCTTATAAGTGCTTATAAGTCTTTATTTGAAAATAAAATATAAAGGAACTTATAGGTGCTTACTTTTTCTTTAAAGCCCTTATTTTTTTTGTTTTTAGTGCTTATTTTTTGCTTTTAGTGCTTTTTTTTTTTTTTTTTTTTTTTTTTTAATGAACGCTGTATCAAAGCCGAAACTAAATAAACAACTTTTCTTCCTAATGTGGAATGTCAAATGGTGAGTCATACTCCCGGAAATAGCTTTTCCCACTTTCTCTGCATTAACATAACTTTTGGTGTGCACGAAGAGTAGAGACAGGTGCCCGTCCTAGCAGTAGAAAATTCCGCAACATTCGGCATTCTTTTCCTCCCACCCAAACACTACACATGTTTGAATTTCTATCAAGATCTTAATAATTTGCGTTCTCATTCCGCTTGGTCAGTTCATATTCGTGTTATTATGATCGTTATGCTTATATTATGAGCATATGTATGAATGTTTATAATAACATAGTTGCAGTAACTGAAGTATAGAAACTTCCAAAAATGGTTTGTTTTAACACAGATTAGCTTTCTAGGAATAATATTCGGAATGGCTTAAATAAAGGGAAAGTAACGAATAGTCAAAATAATTTCATTTTTTTAGCCAATCATTGTACAGTGAAGGTTGGGAGGTCTCCCCTTTCTCCGCAAAATCTTGAATATTGAAACTGTTACAGTTCGCTGGCAAAACAAGAAACAGACCTTTTTTTTTGGGGGGGGGGTCACTTTCCAATCTGGATTGAATAGGACTAAAAGTTCTGCGGTCTACCAACCCAAGCGAAGAATGATTCTATTCCGGAAATTTAACGCCGTCTGTTGAAAATTAGGATGAAAAACACTCCAGTTATTTAGTTCTTTTTTCTCTCAATACCAGCAGGTGTTGATTCCGATTGCGTAATATCACGTAGGGAAGAGTTACGGCGCAAGTATTGCGCAATAACGTTTGCGATATTTTGCAGGGATAATTAATTTTGATGTTCAGTCCGAGATTTGTTTATGAGCACTTAAAAGAGTTTTACTGTGCTTGCTAAGCGGAATATTTTTTAGTTCGGTTGGTTTATTTTTATATGATGCACATATTGAAATTTCAAAAGCATTTATTTAGCGGAAAAATCTAAAGAGCTGCTACAGTCTACCCCCCCCTCCGCTCCTTCAAGTTACGCTCAACTGTCCGAATATTCGCCAATTTCCAAGTATGCGGGTTAGTTAAGCTTTTACTGTTAAAGATGACTGCATGGAGCAAATTTCTGTCTTCTGATTTCAGAAATGTTCCTCTTTTTTACTTAAATTACTTTGCTTGCAATATCTGTTAAGAGAAAATTGATATACAATGAAAATTTAGAAAATGTTCAGAATTAGAATTTAGATTTTAATTTATTTTAAATATCAATATGAGTGGAAAAAATAAATTGTATTTATTATTAGGTTCGAAGCGAATACAATAAATATGCCTTATTATTATTTATTTTCTCTATTTTGAACTGAAATTTCATCATTAAATCTTGTAATATAATTTAGTTCTTTGTAGTTTTTTTTTTTTTTTTTTTTTTTTTTTCCCTCTCATTGTAAACTAGTTCTGTAAATTGAACTATTATTTAAAATTAAAAAAAACAAACAAAAAAAAAAAAAAAAAAAAAAAAGTAATTATTTTCCATGGTTGAGGTAATGCCTATTCTCTCTTAATAAGTACTTCATTTCTCATGTTTTAAATTACAAGTCTAATTTTTAAGGTTATGCAGTTGTGTATGATGTAATTAGGCAGGTGCTTATTTTTTTTCTTAAAATGTGCTTGAAAAGTGCTTATAGGTGCTTATTTTTTTAACTAAAATGTGGCTATGAACCCTATAAGTACCAATAAATTGAAGCCTTTTCTCACTAGCAAGTGTTTAACAACAATGTGCCTTAAAATGTTAATATGAAATACCTGACTTATTGAAGCCTTTTGTGACTAGCAAGTGTTTAACAGCAGTGTGCTTTAAAATGTTAGTATGAAATGTCTATTACATTCATAGTTAACTGTAAAATATGAATGTTATTGAAACTTTGGAAAAATCAATTTAAATTTAAAAAAAAGTAAAAATATGTTTAAAGAATTTCAAAAAGTGAAACAATAAGTTGCTGTGACTAGGGATAATTATATTGCATAAATTTAACATCAAAAGACTTGGTATTCATGCACCCAAATTTCAAATCAGTTTTGCAGCCTTAGGATTCCAAATGTCATTTTTGAAATCTCATGATCAGGGATTGGATTGACAATAACTATGGTTTTTGCCCTTTGGTTCAAAACATTTTCAAGAGCTGGATGAAGTATGGTCCCCCCCCCCAAAAAAAAACACCTGTTGAAAATTGTTTCAAATATGCCAGATTTTTTGTTGGAGACATTGCATTGGAATCTGTTGATGAGTTTAAGTGGTTTAGTTTAGGGGTCTTCAACTTTTCACACACGAGAGCCACATCAATAAATTCACAAAGATCTGCAGGCCACGTGTCTGTCAAAAAAATAGTGTAGTCGGAAAATTTATATAAAAAAGGGAGGTTTCTTTTGCAAGACTACAATTGATTCTAAGTGAAGAGATAGTGTTACAGATTTGTATATGTATGCATTGGTTCCAAAAAGTCAGTCCAAAAGTCGGAAATCAAAAATGTTTTCCAACTTTTTTTAACTATGAAAAAAAAAGTGTAAAGATGACTGTACAGAATGATATTACAAAATGCATTAACAATAAAAATAATAATAAATAAAAAAAAAAACTTACATTACTGGCGTTAGATGGTAGTTACTTTGGTTTCAATGTCTGTTTTTGCTTGATTAAAGCTTCAATATGATGTTTAGTCTGTGTTGTTGTTCCTAAAAGTTTCCTCCAAATGTCTGTCTGTCAGCCGTATTCTTGTTTTTGATTTTAGGATTTTCATTTTACTAAAACGCTGTTCACATATGTAGGTATTGCCAAAGATAGAAGACTGCATGTTTACGAATTCCTGGATACTTGTCTTCCATCACGTATTTCGAATAAAAATTAATTAATGTAGGATTTTCACACACGAGGAAGAAACTTGCATTTTACTGCAGAGTCACACTGTAAATCTATAAATTCTAATTGAAATTCAGGTGGAACACATATTACATAAGATATAGTGGAATTTTTGAAAAATTCATCATTTTCAGAAAATTTTAACCCAAATAATAACAGGCATGTCAATAAAATGTTTCAAATACCAAGAATAAGGGGAAAAAAAGTTATTTTTTTAGAACAAAAAGCTGATAAGGCAATTTTTCTTAAAATCAAAGTTTCTTAAAAATTTTTGAATATTTCTTCAAATTCAAATGTGGAGCCACTAAAATACCTTCAGCGGATCCGGCCATGGATTGAAGACCCCTAATTTAGAGGATAGTGTTTTGCAAGTGTAGCTTTTATGGTGGCTAAACACAGGAAAAACATACAAATGGATGATAACTCTTACTTTAGCAATGATAGTGTTGCATCTATTTCAGGTGAAATTTTGACACGTTTTTAATAATTAATGGTACTCTTGAAAGTGACTATGAGGAGTTTAATTTCTCATACTTTTGTTTTATTTATTTAAATGTTTTGTTCACTTTGATTGAAAAA